CACAAGGCCCCAGAGTTGCCTCAACCTCTGCTGTGCAAACAAGGCTTTTGCCTTTTAGGAAAACACCCGTGTCCCCAACAGACAGGCCTCTGTGTGATTTAAGCCGCGTCCAGCATCTGAGAGTCTGTTATCCAAAGGGCATAAAGGGGAAATCAAACATTCTTTCATATCATTATAAGCCCTGTGCAAACATGCCTCATGGACAAAGCCCTTTCCTGGGCCCAGAACAAGGAGCTGTTTGTCCTGGCCGCCAGCTTGTGGCATGCTGGACCCACAGTGGCCTCCTGTGTGCCCCAGCAGTTTTTCTCTAGGGGGCAATGTTTTACAGGTGTTTGGCGATGAGTTTGCCATGTGAGGTTGACCAGGCACACCATGGGGAGTTTTCAGCAACTACCCCGGCGCACAGCCTCTGAATCTCTGCAACCCCCTAAACAGGCAAATGACCACTCAGTGTGATTGCTTTTGTGAATGGTCGTCCCTGGGCACCAGTATGGGAACTTGAACTCAGGTCAATCTGCATCAGAGGCAGCCCAAGAAAAAGCCAGAAGTCTGGGGCTGGAGTGGGGAGGGTGTTTGCCTTATACGCGGCCAACCCAGGTTCGATTCCAAGCATCCCATATAGTTTCCCGAGCTCCGCCAGGAGTAATTCCTGAGTGCATGAGCCAGGAGTAACCCCTGAGCACCGCTGGGTATGACCCAAAAAGAAAAAAAGAAGAAAGAAAGAAAAAGCCTGAAGTCTCCATCAGACTCCCCTGTGTCACGCAGAGAGAGTATGGCAAGAGCCTCAGTCTCTTTCCCCCCAAATGTTTTAACCCATTAAAACCAGATCCACCTGTTTTTCCAGTTCCCTAGTTCTCTATTGTCCGAGTGTTCCCAGGCTGGCTGGTGTGGTGGCCACACAGCACATGTAGTTCTTGCATCCGGGGAGTGTGGTGTGTGTGGATTGTGATGTGCTGTAAGCTGTGAAAAACGCTTCCGGTTGGGGAATTTAGTTACTGTCTTCCCAGAAAAAAATGCACCGTATCTCATTAATAATTTGTTACGTTCGTGTTAAAAAAAAAAAAAAAGACTTTCAGACTTGTTGGGTTAAATACATTATATAAAATAGTTCCACTTGTTGTGGTTTCCCCACACTTCTTTTCATGTGGCCTCTAGAACACATTCAAATCACAGATATAAGCCCGTATTTGCACCAGGCAAGGCTGGGGGGGGGGACGGCTGGTAGGAAGTGTGGGTTTATTGTGCCATCTGCTGGTCAACTTGCCACAGACACATGTCTGCACTGCGTGGAGTCTGGCCAAGCCATGTGTACGCACCCTTTCCAAGGCATTTCTGGGACCAGACTGAACCCTGAAGCCCCCGTCTCATCAGCAGACTTCTTGAAAGATTATTTTAAGACACCTCCAAGTGACAGACAGCTGGGAGGCGCAAGCCTGTGCCCTCTGTGGAAGTGGAGAAGTTCCCCCCGCCCCCAGAGCTGTTTTATGTGTGTCGGGGTGGGGCGTACCCCACTCCCAGTCTAGCAGACAGTTCTAGGACCCAACAATGTGCTGCTGCTCGGTCCTGGTGATTTGGGGACCACAAGACAATGCAAGGTGGGGCGGGAGAGGCACTTCAGGGTGTCCCCACACCCACCACTGTGCTCTGGTGACCGCGCAGGATCAAATTTGTGGCCCTGAGTGTGCAAGGCATCTGCTCATCCTGACCTATCTGTGCTCTTCCCCTGTTCCCCAAAGTAACTGTTCTTTTTATTTATTTTTGGGGGGGGTCACACATGGCGATGCTCAGGGGTTACTCCTGGCTCTACACTCAGAAGTGCTCAGGGGACCATATGGGATGCTGGGGATTGAACCCGGGTCGGCTGCGTGCAAGTTCGATCCCCGGCATCCCATATGGTCCCCCAAGCACCGTCAGGAGTGATTCCTGCGCACAGAGCCAGGAGTGACCCCTGAGCATCACTGGGTGGGACCCAAAAATCAAAAATTAATGAATTAATTAAAATTAAAGAAGAAATCTTTTGTTCTGGGGCTGGAGAAATAGTCCAGCGGGCAGGGCACTGCTGCACCGTAGCCTTGCATACAGCTGACCTAAGCTCTATCCCCAACACTGTGTATGATTCCCCTAGCCTGCCAGAAGTGGTCCTGAGCATAGAGCCCTGAGTAAGCCCTGAGCACAGCTAGGTGTGACCCAAAAACAAAGGGGGAAAAAATGTTTATTTTAAGCAGTCTTGGGCCTGGAAAGAGAGAGCAGCATGCTTGGTTTGCAGAGGGCACAGGCTGGATCCCCACCACCATACGTGCTCCCACGCACTGCCAGGAGTGATCCCTGAGCACTGCTGGATGTGACCAAGACTAAAACAAAAACAAAAAACATACCGCTATATACACTAAACATAAGACTAGAATATCACTATACACACATACACACACTATATGTAGTATAAATACCACCACACACACACACACACACACACACACGACTATATGTAATTGTTTTTTGGGGGGAGGTGGAGTCACATCCGGCGCTGCACAGGGGTTATTCCTGGCTCATGCACTCGGGAATTACTCCTGGTGGTGCTCAGGGAACGATATGGGATGCTGGGAATCAAACCCAAATCAACCACGCATGCAAGGCAAACGCCCTACCTGCTATGCTATCACTCCAGCCCCAAAATATATATGCAGTTTTTGGTCAGCGGGTAGAGCACATACCTCGCATATACAATACCCTGAATTCAATCCCTGTACCTGCACCACATGCCAGAAAACTAAGCATTAGGACTGCATAGACACAGGAGTGACCCTATTAAACAAAAAGACAAAAGTAAATGTAGTCATCCCTTAATATCAGTGAGGCATTGGTTCTGTTACCACTGAAGATGAAAACTTCCACAGTTACTCAGGCCCCTAAAAATGGCAGTGTTTTTGCATCTAACCTACATGCACATCACACACTTTTGAAATCGTTGCTGTATCTAGTGTGAAGTGCTGTCTACAGAGTTGTCATGTTGTTTCGGGAATAATGACAAGGTAAAAGTCTGCATGTTTAGTGTTGGCACAGTCACCAGAGGCCTAACTACGCAAAACAGGTGTTTATAATATGCAGTGGGTCAAATCCAACGCACAGGTACAGAGCCAAGTGCCTACACTGCACTGGGCTAGAAGCTAGAATTTCTCAAAATGAGGACATATCTCCATTCCTCAAAGGACTAGTGTCCTCTCTCTGGGTAATGCCACTTGCCTGGATTTGTCAAGTGCTTGAAAGTATAAATCATGTCAATAGCCTTTAAAATAAATTAGACACTATCTGATGTATAACATTTCACCGGAAAGTTAGTGGCTTAAAGCGATAGAATCATTTACCACCTTCTGTCTCACAATTTCTGGATTATTATTTTTGTTTCATGTTGTTTGCAGGGGAGGAAAGAATTTCATTTTTATCCCTTTTTCCCCTTTGTTTTTTCTTTCTCTTTTTTTTTTTTTTGGTGGTGGGGGGGGTGGAGGGGGGAGGCATTTCCAGCAGTGCTCTGGGTCTATTCCAGGCTCTGTGCTCAGGGTTACTCCTGGCAATGCTAAGTGGACCATGAAGTCCCAGGCCTCTACATGCAAAGCCTGTGCTCTGCCCTTTGAGCTATCTTTCCAACCCCCTCTCCATGATTCTGTGGATCAGGGGTGGCCTAGCTGAACACTTGGAGTCCAGGGTATCTTCACTGAGGTGAAATCAGAGGTTGGCTAGAACTTCAGTTACTGGAAAGTTTGCTGGGCCTGGAGAATCCATGTCCAGGGTAGCTCATTTGTACAACCAGCAAGATGGGGGCAGCCCAGAGGCTCCATTCACCTCTGCACAGGCTGCTGAGTGTCCGAGAGGCATGGTCACTCTTGCCCTCCAAAAAAGTCAGTCTCTGGCCGGAGAGATAGTATATGCAGAGAAGGATAGTACAGCGGAGAAGGTGCTTGCCTTGCATGCAGCCCACCCAGATTTGATCCCCAGCATCCCCTCTGGTTTCCCAAGCCTGCCAGGAGTAATTCCTGAGCACGGCATCACAAAGAAAGAAATGACCCGCTGTACCTTTGTGTTGGGCGGGAAACAGGAAGGTGCACCAACCTCTTGGAAAGTCAGCCTCATGCTGTGAAAGATGATAGGAACTAGGATGGCCGGCTCTGAAAGATAAAACCTGACAACATGCCAGACTCTTGCTAGCGCTGTACAGCCGAAAGCCAATATCCATTTTGCAGATAAGTAATTCACAAAAGTCAAACTATACCACCCTAAGGTCTTGAGCCAAAAAAAAAAAAAAGGCTAGTTCTTCTAGGTTCCCCTGGTGGAACCAGTTATCTTTTTGTATCTTCCTGTGCTGTTGCTTATATCCAAGGATTATGCTGATGGCTTTGTCTGCCAGTATGTGCATGGTGTCTGGGTACCCCCTCCATCCATGCATTTCCCATGGCATTCCTCTGATGGCCCGTGCTATATGATCATTCATTTCCTTGGGGCTCATGGGAAGTAGATTTCAATTAACTATAGTCAGATCCCTTTCTTACAAAGGTGGTAAAGAATAAAAAAAAATAATTGCTCATTTTCTAGTACTTCCACACTTCTTTGCTTTCAAAAAGCTCAGGAGTGAACTGGAGAGATACTATAACAGGCAGGGTGCTTGCCTTGCATACAGCTGACCCAAGTTTGATTCCTGGCACCATATATGGCCCCCAAATCCCCACCAGGAGTGGTCTCCGACCACTGGGTGGTATGGCCCTAAAATAAAACACACCCTCAGAAGTGATGACCCTATTATAATTTATGTGTTCATATTTCTGTTCTATTGTCCACATATTACATCTTCTTTACAGTTGAAACGGAAAAGAGCCTGCTTTCAGTTGCTTCTATATTTCTTGGTCATCTCGGAAAGGTTTTTAACCATTTCTTTTATGTTCTATCTGCCAAAATTAAAAACTAAAATCTAATTGTCTAAACTCTTTTGGTCTTCTTCTTCTTGGTTTCAGGTCAAACTTCCCTTTCCTGTTGATCAAATCACAGACCTTCCAAGGAACGATTTCCAGATGATGATTAAGATGCACAAACTAACCTCAGAACAGTTAGAGTTCATCCATGACGTCCGCCGGCGCAGCAAGAACCGCATCGCGGCCCAGCGCTGCCGCAAGAGGAAACTGGACTGTATTCAGAATTTAGAATGTGAAATCCGCAAATTGGTAAGTCCAACCTTTCGGAACCCAAAGTCCCCATGACTGATACAAAGAGCAAAGGCTGGAGAAGTAGGGAGAAGGATCTCCATTCGGGAAAGTTGGGTTAGTTTGTGGTTGGTTGGTTGGTTGGTTGGTTGGTTGGTTGGTTTTTCAACAGTTCATTGCTTTCATTTTTTGAGCCACAAGCAGTGGTGCTCAGGCCTTGCTCCTGCCTCTACTCACAGGTTACTCGTGGCAGTGCTGGGGGACCTTGTTTTTTTTCTTGAATCACCGTGAGATACACTTAACAAAAATTTCATGTTTGAGTTTCAGTCATATAAGGATTGAATACCCACCTCTCCACCAGTGCACATTTTCCACCTCCACTGTCCCCAGTATACCCCCACACATGTCCCAACCTTTCCCCTGCCTCAATGGCAGACAATTTCCCCCATACTCTCTTTCTACTTTTGGACATTATGGTTTGCAGTATAGATACTGAGAGGCTGTATCACGTTTGGTCCTTTATCTACTTTCAGGACCCAATATGCCAAATACCAGTAACAATGATGGGTCTCATTCTCCTAAAGAGCCTTGAATATAATCTCAGGACTAGGATGAAAGGGACGTTACTGGGGCCTGCTCGAGGCAATTGACGAATAACAGGATGATTTGTGATTTGTAATTTGTGATCTACTTTCAGCACACATCTCCCATCCTGAACGATTCCTCCAACTATCATTGACTAAGTGATCCCTTCTCTACCCCAGCTGCCTTCTCCCCCAGCTCATGAGACAGACTTCCAACTATGGAACAATCTTTCTGGCCCTTGTGTCTAACTGGCCTTGGATGTCAGTCTCATATTGTGATATTTCACATCCACAAATGAGTGCAGTCATTTTGTGTCTGTCCCTCTCTTTCTGATTCATTTAACTTAGCATGATACTCTCCATGACAGTCCACTTATAAGCAAATTTCATGACTTCATCTTTTCAGCTTCATAGTATTTCATTGTGTAGATGTACCAAAGTTTCTTTAACCAGTCATCTGTTCTCGGGCACTCAGGTTGTTTCCAGATTCTGGCTATCGTGAACAGTGTTGTAATGAACATATAGATGCAGATGTCATTTTGGCTGTGCTTTTTTTGCATTCTCGGAATTTATTTGCTGGGGGACCTTATATGGTGCCAGGGACCTAACTGGGGTTGGCTACATGCAATGCAAGTGCCTTACCTGCTGCACTTCTTCTCCATCCTGAGAGCTCCATTTCTGTCTCCTCTTTGTTGTTGGGATTGCTGTTGTTGCATCTGAGGTCTGCATACTTGTTTGTGTGGGGCGAGGGGGTCCACAGTGACAGTACCAGGATCCAATGCAAAACGTCACTCAGTCTTACACTCAACCATCAGCCCATATCCAAGCCCCTAAACAAATCTGTCCTTGGAAATAATAGCTCTACCACTGCAGTGTGTGTGTGTGTGTGTGCCTTTGTGTGCCATTGTGTCATTGTGTGTCATTATTTATATTCTTAGCCATACCTGGTCATTGTTTTAAATCTCTCATTTGACAGAACATTGATTACAGGAATTTGTGGCACTGTAGCACTGTCCTCCCGTTGTTCATCAATTTGCTCGAGCGGGCCCAGTAACATCTCCACTGTGAGACTTCATGTCACTGTGTTTGGCATATTGAATATGTCACAGGTAGCTTGCCAGGCTTTGCCATGCAGGCAAGATACTCTCAGTAGCTTGCCGGGCTCTCCGAGAGGGCATTTGTGGAAGAGGCATTATTCTAAACTCTTTGTGGGGCTCCCAAGCAGTGCTCAGGGGGCCCAGGCACCTTTCCTGGTGATACGCAGCCAGCAGGGCTGGGCAGGTAATTCAGTGCCAGAGCCCAACTATGTGTGGTACTGTGGGTTTCCTGAGCACCATGTCTCAGTTTCAGGAGCCAAGTGGGAAATGTACGCAGGGGACCAAACTTAGGATCTTGTGCATGCAAAGTATGCACCCCTGATACCTGAACTATCTTCCCAGCCCTCTAAACCATTTTTGTAGCTGGTCATGTTTAGCCCTCCTGGCTACCCTGGAACGTGTGCACTGTTTATACCAGCTAGGGGAGAAGCAAGTGTGCAGAGATGAAGGCAACTTCCCAGCATATGGTGGTACTTATGTGTAAATCCAGTTGTCTGATTATAAATGTGTTCAGAGTGTTTTTAGTTACATTAGTTTGTTTTATTCGGGGGTCACCCGCGGTGTTGCTGAGGAACTATTCCTGGCTGTGTGCTCATTAGTGAGCTCTGGGGTCTGTATGTGGTACAGAGATTCAAACCCGGCTCACTGGGATGCAAGGAAAGTATCTTCCCTGCTGTTCGTAACGCTGTTGCTGCTCCTTGGCATGTCCCCTTTGCTGCAGGAAGCAGCCCAGGCACCTCTGACCCCATGGCAGCCTTAGAATGACTGTCCTTAGGCCCAGGGCCAAAACTCACCTGGGGCTCACCCTGGGTCGGGCTGAAAAGGAGAGAGGCCTCATAGTGACCATACCATATCAGCCAGCCTATATCCAGCCCCTAAACAAATCTCTCCTCAGAAATAATAGCTGTACACTCTGCACACTCTGCAGTTTGTATTTGTGTGGTTGTGTGATTAAGTGTTGGTATTTATGTCCTTTAGCCATCCCTGGTCATTATTTATAATCTCTCACTTGGTGGGACATTGATTGCAGAAATATTAATTACTTTTGGGTCCCCACAGACTCAAGAGATAGTGCAGTGGGGAAGCACTTGCTTTGCACATACCCACCCCAAGCTCGATCCCCGGTAATCCCATACAGTGTCTCGAGCCCCACCAGAAGTGACCCCTGAGCTCAGAGCCAGGAGTCAGCCCTGAATACCTGGAAGTATGCCCCCCAAAAAACTAAAGTAAGTAAATAATAAAGTTGGGTCTACAAACTAATTGTAGATGTTCTTTGGCTCTCAGTCTAGTGAGAACCTAAAAACAAGATAAAGCAAGGTGGATATAACCTGTCGTTGAGAGACTGAGACTCCTAGTCTTCCTTTTTTTGTTTGTAGTGCTAGCATTCAAACGTTTATGATTATGAATAAGGACCTTATGTCTAAGAGGCCTGAGTTCTGCCATGAGCCATATCCTCAGACCTCATTAGGCATCTTTAAATAAAAAATTCACATACAGCAACCACAAAAAAGTTCTCCTGACATCCTCCATGTACCAGGTCAACTCACCCAGTACTCAGGGCTGACTCCTGACTCAGTGCTCAGGGATCACTCCTGAAGAGGCGCAGGGAACCCTGTGGGATGCCAGGAATGGAACCAGGGTTGGCCGCGTGCAAGGCAAGTACCTTCTCCCTGTACACCCCCACCCACACACACAGGTTCTTCTTTTTTTTTCCCCCGCTTTTTGGGTCATATCTGGCAATGAACAAGGGTTATTCCAGGCTCATGCACTCAGAATTACTCCTGGCAGTGCTCAGGGGACAAGATGGGATGCTGGCTATCGAACCCAGGTTGGCCACATGCAAGGCAAACACCCTACCCGCTGTGCTATCACTCTAGCCCCAGGTCTTTGTTCTTGCAGGTTTTCACCTTATCCCTTCCTAAGTCCCCAGTGAGCTGGGGGACTGCCCCCCTGGCCCTGACCTGACCTTTGGCTCTATGCTGCTCTCCTTGGTCTGCATTATCCAGGTGCAGATCCATCACACACACACACACACACACACACACACACACACACACACACACACCGTCCTACGTACGTGCTTCCTCACCACAGTGACAGCAGCTCCATCATCCTCCAAGGAAGTACCTTGAAAGCATTCAGAAAAAATTCATTGCCCTGAAATGTCCTGTAGAAGATGACTCTTCAGCTTGTAGTAGAACAAAATTTTCCCAGACTTTTCTTGAATGTCTTACCATCAACCAGGTTTTAATTCAAGCCAGCTAAAAAGAGGACGAAGCAAGAGTACAGGAGATCGGGCATTTTTCTTGCACCTGGCTAACCCAGGTTCAATCCACAGCATCCCCAAGCACTGCCAGGAGTGATTCCTGAGCACAGAGCCCGGGGTAACCCCTGAACATTACCAGGTATGACCCAAATACCCCACCCTGAAAAAAGAAAAAGCCACCTAAGCAAGCAAGGTATTGTCACTGTTGGTCCACACACAGGCAGACTTTTGGGGGCCCTTTCTCCCCTTGGCCAGCGCTGGGCCTCCGTCTCCCTCACAGGCCTTCCCTGGCTTTGCCCCTCCACACACACCCCACCCCTGCTCACTCTTTGTGCCCAGATTGGAGAAGCACCTGCTCTGTGTCAGTGGCACCATTTGTCCCATCACAACCTGAGCGAACAAAGGCCCGAGTCAGCCCAGGCTGATATTGTGCTAATTTCCCATTTCAGCTTTACTCAAGATGGGGCGTGCAGAGAGATGGCTCAGTGAGCTGGCGTGCAGGTTTGCAGTGCATGAGCCTCAGTTGGATCCTCGGCACCACCGGGGCCCCCAAGCACCTCCGGAATCAGTCCCCAATTACAGAGCTAGGAGTAGCAGTTGAAAAAGAAAGAAAAAAGAAGCAACCAAATATTCTTTTTTTTTTTGAGGAGGAGGAGGGGAACCCTAAGAAATAAGCCGCTGGGGTTGGAGCGATAGCACAGCGGGTAGGCCGTTTGCCTTGCACGTGGTCAACCCGGGTTCGATTACCAGCATCCCATATGGTCCCCTGAGCAACGCCAGGAATCATTCCTGAGTGCAGAGCCAGGAGGAACCCCTGTGCATCGCTGGTGTGACCCAAAAATCAAAAATAAAAAAGTTTAAAAAATAATAAGCCCCCTTTCATTGCCAAATGAGAGCTTCAGTTTCTCACCGATGATCTTGAGTGACCTTGCGCTTCCTGATGTGAACTGAGCTCCCTACAGAGAAGCTGCCCCGTGGCCCCCCCATCCCCGTTCCTGGGGTCTTACACAGAGAAATTGATGGGAGACAGAGGGTTGGCTGGAGTAAGCAGGATTCTCTGGGGTAGCTAGAAAGTTGTAGTTTTCAGGGTGGAGGGTAAAGAGTACAAAGGATAAGGCCAATCTGAGTTCCATCGCCAGCACCCAAGGGGCCCCCAGAGCTATCCCTGAGTGCAGGGCCCAGAGTAGGCCCCAAGCACAACGAGGTATGCACAGCGGTAAGGGCGTTTGCCTTGCACGCAGCCAACATGGCCGACCCGAGTTCGATTCCTCCGCCCCTCTCGGAGAGCCCGGCAAGCTACCGAGAATATTCGATATGCCAAACACAGTAACAACAAAGTCTCCAATGGAGACGTTACTGGGCCCGCTCGAGCAAATCGACGATCAACAGGAGGGCCTTTACCTTTACCTTAGCACAGAGGTAGGGTGTTTGCTTTGCATGTGGCCGACCTGACCGACCAGAGTACGATTCCTCTCGGAGAGCCCGGCAAGCTACAGGGAGTATCTTGCCCACACGGCAAAGCCTGGCAAGCTCCCCGTGACGTATTTGATATGCCAAACACAGAGACAACAAGTCTCAGGATGGAGATGTTACTGGGCCCACTCTAGCAATTCAATGAACAATGGGAGGACAGTGACAGTGACCGTGACAGAGCTTTAAATAATGGTGTAGTTTGCAGGGCTGGTACAGGCCCGCTGCCACGTTCACCCTTCCCAAAGGAGGCCTCCCAGACACCTTCCGCTTCCCGCGTGCCGCCTCCTGGGGGCGCTGTGCCCTCTGGGCTCGATGGACAGGCATGTGCACCCTCTCCAGGCTCCCACACTGTCTCCACATGACTCTCGGCTTTTGCAAACTCACATAATGTATTTCTCTCGAGTTGCACTGGTACATCTGTTTATTTTTCATTTTTAAAGCCTGTTTTCTTGATAAATTTATAAATATTTTAGCAGGTGCCCTTTCCCCGTGTAAATCTCTGTCTCCAACACACATGCCCACGCTGCCTGCCAGATTGCTGCCGTGTTCCCGCGCGTGTGCGCGGCTCCCACACAGGGGACGGGGTCAGGCTCGCTTCCTCCCTCCCCCTCCCCCACTTCCACCCACCTCCCTCCCCCACGCTCTGTTCTGTGTTTTCCCATTTCCTCCTCCCTTCCCTCCTCCTCCCCTCCTCTTCCTTATTCCTCCCTTCCCCCAATCACTACCTTTCCTCCTCTTCTTTCTCCACCCTCTCTCCCTCCTCCCTCTTCCCTCCTCCCCTCTCCCCCATGTCCTCCTGTTTCCCACCTGGAAGGGCTGCTGAGGACTCTGCCAGCTGCTCTCCCGTGTCCAGTGTTGCCCCTGTAGTGTGTGTCCCACAGAACCTGTCTTCTCTGCTCCCACATCCTTAGGAGGAGGCCTCTGGGCACCAGGGCTGAGCATCCCACGGTGTACAGGGAGACACTCCAGGCCCTCCATGAAGTCACCCTGTTCTGCCATGCAGACCCCAGTGCCCACTGATGGGGAAAACGAAATCACAAGTGGGCAGTTTGTGTGTGTGTGTGTTTTCATAGATGTTAGAACAGTTTTAGGTGCATAGAAAATTTAGATGAAAATGACTAAACTGCTCTTGGTCCCTTGCACCCCCCAAGACACACAGATAAGAGAGACCTGTGCCTCCCCATTATGATAGGCATGTGAGCCTTTCCACCCTGGGACCCCTGTTCTTCTCCCTCCCCCCTCCTCATTAACCCTGACACCCACCTATCTTCTTATTATCTTCATAGTTTTGCAGTCTTCTAGAATGTTACAGAGTGGGTCTGGTCAGTTATTTCTGGTTTCCAAAAATAGTATAGCAGGTAGGGCGCTTGCCTTGCTCATGGCTGACCCGGGTTCAATCCCCAGAATCGCATGTAGTTCCTGTTCACAGCCAGGAGTAATTTCTGATTGCAGAGCCAGGAATAACCCCTGAGCATCACTAGGTATGACCCTAAAATAAAACACAAAGCCAGAAAAAAAAAGAAGGGACAGTAAGGATTATATATTTGGTTTTCAAAAAGCCTAGGAGGCAGAGAGTTAGTATAGAGGTTTAGGCATTAAACCGGTTCAATCCCCAACACCACCTAAGGTCTCCTGTGCCCCACCAGGAGTGATCCATGAGCACAGAGCCAGGCATGAGCCCTGAGCACTGCTGGATGTGCTAAAGAGAGGGATAGACATAAAAAGATTGCATTAATCTGGGGGACATGAAGTAACAAAATAGGAGATTTATACCCAAGAATAGCCGAGATCAGTACCAGGAGGATTACTCCATGGCTTAGAGGCCAGCCGGGCATGCTAGGGGAAAGGGCAGCTCAGATAGATAAGGGAGCACCAACAAAGGGTGTTGGGAGGATCCTCCCAGGATGGGAGATGCATGTTGAAAGTAGACTATGGACCGAACATAATTGCCACTCAATGCATCTTTTGCAGACCACAACACCAAAAAAGAGAGAGAGAACTAAAGGGGATGCCCTGCCACAAAGGCAGGGTGGGATGGGGGGGATGGAGGTGGGAGGGATACTGGGATACATGGTGGTGGAAAATGGGCACTGGTGGAGGGATGGGTATTTGATCATTGTATAATCGAAACCCAAGGACAAAAATTTGTAAGTCTACAACTGTACCTCATGGTGTTTCACTAATAAAATTTTTTTTTAAAAAATGGTAACCTAAAGCATTGGGAGAAACTGTCAGCTATGAGGTTGGAAATAAGTGTTTCATTTGAAAAACTCCTAAATCCCAGAAAAAAATGTGCCTTTGCCTCCCTGGGGTTTCAGGGCTGGTAGGAGTTTTCCTAGCCCTTGGCAGGGCTGCAAAGGATGCAGAGACACAAAGAAGAAAGGGTCAGGTCAGCAGCCTGCCTGGATCAAGTGCCAGACGGGAGGCTTGGTGCAAGTATGAATGTAGCTCCCTGATAATGGGCTTCAGATCCCCACCTGGGCATTGAGGAGGAACCCCATAGTGTAGAACACAGACACAAGGTGGGAGACTGTGAGAGATGCTACAGCGGGTAAGGTCCTTGGCTTGACCACGCCTGACCCAAGTTCAATCCCCAGCATCCGATATGGTTCCTCCAGGGGATGGAGCAATAGCACAGTGGGTAGGGCGTTTGCCTTGCACACGGCCAACCCAGGTTCAGTTCCCAGCATCCCATATGGTCCCCTGAGCACCGCCTGGGGTAATTCCTGAGTGCAGAGCCAGGAGTAGCCCCTGTGCACCAAAGGTGTAGCACTGTAACACTGTAGCACTGTCCTCCCATTGTTCATGGAATTTGCTCCAGCAGGCACCAGTAACATCTCCCAACAAATTGTGAGACTTGTTGTTACTGTTTTTGGCATATCAAATAGGTCACGGGGAGCTTGCCAGGCTTTGTCGTGCAGGCGAGATACTCTGGGTAGCTTGCCAGGCTCTTCGAGAGGGGCGGAGGAATCAAACCCAGGTTGGCTGCGTACAAGGCAAACGCCTTATCGGCTGTGCTATCACTCCAGCCCATCCCAGGGTGTAACTCAAAAAAAAGCAATATGGTTCCTCCAACCCCACCAGGAGTGATCCCCGAGGGCAAAGCCTGGAGTAAGCTCTAAGATCCACTGGATGTGTCCCCCAAAATCAAACAACCCAACTATAGATGGGACCCTCCCCACCACCACGATCCCACTACACCCCCCACGAACAAGGTCCTCTGGCCTCTGCCTGGCTGGGGCTTGACCACACCTTTTTTCTCTCCCTTGCAGGTCTGTGAGAAAGAGAAACTGTTGTCAGAGAGGAACCAGCTGAAAGCCTGCATGGGGGAGCTGCTCGACAACTTCTCCTGCCTTTCCCAGGAAGTGTGCCGGGACATCCAGAGCCCCGAGCAGATCCAGGCCTTGCATCGGTACTGCCCAGTGCTCCGGCCCGTGGGTCTCCCCACAGCCTCCAGTATTAACCCCGCGCCCTTGGGCCTCAACCAGAACCTTGCCCCGTCCCAGTGTGCCACGGGGGAGAGCGGGCCCTGCTGCCCAGAGCAGGGTGCCGCTGCCGCAGCCGCCCCCCCAGGATCCCCCTGGGGCCCCAGCAGCACCTCGGAGAATTGTACTTCCGCCAGGAGGCTGGAAGGCCCTGGAGCAGGCCCCTTCCCAGAGAGAGGCCCTCCTCTGGAAGCCCGGGGTCAGACGGTGACGGTGGACTTCTGCCAGGAAATGACTGACAAGTGTACGACCGACGAGCAGCCACGAAAGGAGTACACCTAGCGCCCACCCTGCCGGGGTCTCCAGGCCAGCCTGCGGCCTGCTCACCTGTTGTCTGAAGAACTCGAAGGAATTTGGTGCACACTACAAGCCGTCTTCGCAGCAATACTGTTCCTCAGTATTTCCTCCTCTTTCGAGCAGGAGTGGTGGAGAGTTACCTTCACTATGGTGCTACCCTGGCTCACGCGGGGAAAGAACACAGTGACGACGACGACTCTTGTCTGTGGGTCACTCTCAGTCTTCACAGGGATAGACTCTGTCACCTCCGGGACCCCACCATGGATTTTTGTTTCGTTGTTTTTTTGGGTTTTGTTTTTGTTTTTGTTTTTGTTTTTTTTTGCTCAGTGGCCCATGTCACAAATCCAATCTCAGGAATTTCTTCTGAATGTTCAATTTTTTTCATTGAAGACAGCTTCTATACACATCAAAGTTTTATAGCTAGACTGTACATACTATATATAATATATATGAAATATATATATCTCCATATGCAAAAGTCCTGCATGCCTCAATTTTCTCATTCTAAAACTGGAAACTTCATTTCTCATTTAAAAACAGGTTCCAACATTCCTCTTCCTTTGGTCTCTGATACTAGAGCTAGTTTGATCATTGTTAATATGGTTTGCTGTTTGTTTTCGGTTTTTTTCCTTGCTTCATGGTTCAGCTTTCAATGTGTACTTATTATTTATGGATGGAATTCAGTGTTGGAATTTTTCTTTTCTAGGTTTTGTTTAGGACCTTTTTTTTTTTTGACTTGGTTTGGGCACTGTCAGATGGTGCCATTAGTGCTGTGGGTCTGTTTGCCTTTTTTGTTTGTTTCTTTTTTCTTTTTTCCCTGCAGATACTGTATAGTTAGTCATGGTCAGCTTTGCCACTTGCACTGAGTTTTGGGTTAAACCTATTTTCTTAAATGAAGTTGTCACTTCAGTATCACTCAAGTATACTGTATATTCTTTGCTTTTAGTTTAAAAAAAAAAGTAAAACATTTTAGCTAATTAAAAAGCACTCAGGTGATAATGATGTAGGGAAAAAAAAACAATCTTGCCAAATAATGACTTCATCCTAGGATGTGTAGACAATAATTTGCTTGAATATTTTTCTATGTCACCTCCTCCTCACCCTTCCCTACGCAAAGTTGAAATGCAGATAGAATTCAGAGTTGATGCAGGGTGTTCAGATTCCAAAGTGGGGAAGAGAGTTTGGACATCTCACGCAAAAGTGCATCGAATCAGCAGGAATTCATGACTTATTACCAGAACTCAGTAGGCACTGGCTCCTAGAAATCAAGTTAGAACTATGGAATCGCCCAGGGAATCGTTCCATTCATTTCAGCACTTCCTCCAGCCTCAGCCGGCTCCAAGGAAGTGTCAGGCCTTCTCCCATGAAGGATATGGTGGGCCTGGCACCTTTGCCTGCGCCCAGGACCCGCTTCCCATGATGTCTCCACTGAGCAGGCTTGTCTGGAAAACTTTGGGCAGGGCTTGAGGGAATAGAGGAAGGTCCTGCCCTCCCTCCGTGGAGCCCCCCCCCCCAGGGGAGGGCAGCTGGTCCGGAGAAGAGAGAGCAGGACAGAGGGGGAGCCTGAGTCTGTCCCTGATGCGGGCAAAAGCATTTCTTTCTCCAGTCTTTCTTCTGAAGCTTTGAGATAAAGCGGAGGCCTTCCCACTGGTTGCTGGTCCAAAGGCAGGTTTCACTCTTAGACTTTGGACAGGGTATGGCCAGGGGTCCTTGTTGACCCCTCCTGCCTTCCCAACACAACACAGGCACGCACACATACACACACACATAAACACACAAACATACACACACACACACACACACACATTTGAGAGCAGCTTCCCTTGGCTCTGGAGTTGTGTTGGCCTGGCCACGTTTACAGGAAGGTGTGCCCGTGATCTGCAACCCAGAGGAGTGGGACTCCGCTTCCTGCCTCCCCCCCCCCCGCCCCCCCGTAGGGCCTGGCTACAGGAGGAAGTCCCCGAGGGTTTGATGTGGGGTGGGGTGGTGGGCAGGGGGGACTAGACAGTTGACTTTGTTTCTTTATTTGTGCCATTGTTTGGACAATATTAAAGCTGCATGTGAAGGGGGGAATTAGTATATGATGTGGGGAAAAAGTGAAATCATAGTAACATGTTTTAGTATTATTAACTTTTTTCTGTACAAATATTAATGCTCAATGTTTAAATATGTATGAATGCCAGAAACTTGTCTGTTCATTCAGTAGGATTTTGGGTTTTGTTGGTTTGGGTTTTTTTTTTCTTTTTCTTTTTTTTTAAGACTTTTCAAACGTTTCCACTTTTAAAACCTGCCTCTGGGTTTCTGTTCATTCTCCCCTGTGTGTGTCTGTGGGTGCTTGTCTGAAAGCTTTTGAGAGGGCTCTGGGCTGGATCTGCCATTTGTTATTCCGTTGGTTGGGATTTCTTGGCCTGGTAAAATAGTTCCATGCTTCACTGTGAGATTCGCTTCTGTGGGGAAAGCGGTGGGCTTGAAGTTCGTTGCAAAGTCTGTGGAACATCCCAGATAGCTCTGGGGGAGTTAGCCTGCCGTATTTGGTTTTTCAACTCTCTCATTGTCTTTTTCAAATGACCTCCTCTTTTAAAAAAAGGATTGTTTTCTGCTCCAATCACAGCCAGATCCAAACCAGCTCACTGCTGTGATTTATCCTGCCCACAATTCATGTGTAACGAGTGGCCTTGACCACATTCCATTCGTTTCCCCGTTTCTATTGTTCAATGCACTCTCAGTTGTGTGGTGGTTATTTCTGGGAGAGACAGGGTCTCCTGCCTGTCTGCATCTTGTTCCAGCCCACATCCTCAGCCCAGTACGCGCGCACACACACACACACACACACACATACACACACACACACGCACACACGCCTCCTCTTCTCTTCCTCTTCCCCAGCCCAATCCTGTCCTGGGAACTGGTCACACGGACTGCTTAGAAAACCTGTATCTTGGAGATTTGGAACAAGCTGTCCTTCTGCTCATTGTCCAGCATGAACAGCCACACAGGCTTTGTGTATGTGACATGTCTGTGTTTTCTGCAAATCTGAATCTGGTACTTGTTGAGATTCTTTGGGGCTTGATTCAAAGGGAGGAGTGCCAGAGCCCAGACTTACAGTTCACTTCAGTGGCAATGAAACACCAGCCCATCTTCTTTCTATAGGATCCCTTAGTCAATCCCAGATCTTTCCTTAAAAAGGAAAAATAGGGCTGTGTTGTCACCACAAGGTGCCATTTAGTTTGTATTTTAAGGAAAAAATCAGAGCACTGGAAAAATGGAGGTGTTTCCAAGGACAGGCTGTAGGAAGATCCCTACATCCCATCCCCTCGAATGGGTCTTCAGTAGGTGTGGGGATGTGGGGGTGGGAGTGATGGTTGGAGTCTGGGCTGTTGAGTGAAGACCACTGAGGAGGTCATTGGCCTCATTAGCATGGCCTGAGTCTCATCCTCCCCTTGCATCTGCCTGTGCCCATGTGTCCATTTCCCTTCATACTGGCTGGTCAGGCTTTGGGCAAGCGAGTGCTTTGCTGTCTGTTGTTTGTTTCTCTGCATTCTCGAGGGGGTGCCTTGAATGAAAGCAAACTTCTTTACTGATTCTGGAACAAAACAGTTATTTAAAAAATTAAAAACCCTAAAGGAGCAAAAACGTGGTTGAACAAGCTGACCAAGTTAGCCGACCTTACTCCTGCTCTTACCAGTTTCCTAGCGATGACTCAGGCGTCAGAGGTGATGCTGCAGTAGAAAAACTTATTTTGTATATTATACAAGTAATTTATTAACTTTCTTTCTAAAGGTATGCTGCTTTTACAATGCACTATTAATTTTGGATTGAATCCTTGTGTCGCTTTCCCAAGGAAGTTTCAAACAAACAAGCAAACAGAAAGGCTCGTGATGAGTATGCTAACTGTTCTGCTCCTTCTGAAGGAGGGCAGGGACCAGCACAGGGCCGGGCCTGAGAGGGTGACTCCAAGTCTCTCAGACTGCAGTGTGGATTTGAGTGTTATTGTTATCCGAGAGCAAGGCCTACATGTCCAGTACTTTTTTTGATTGCCATTAAAGAAACTAAAAGGTGTGAAAATATAAGCCTTTTAAGAATCCACAAAGTCCGGCCGCCAGGAGCCACCCCGTGTCCCAAGAAGTAACATAACCCTCTCCCAATGAGGACAAGTCAGCCAAGCTCTTCCAAGTCCCAGACTGCCTAGTTCTACACAGGATGCCCCCTAGGAAACCAATTGCTGCTTCATACAGGACTTTAAATCGTTCCTCTGTTGCTTTCGGTTTAGGAGTCGAGGGTCAAGAAGGGAGCAGGAATCGAGTTTTGTCCTCAAATCGCTGTAAATAGATGAAGGAACATCATTTTTTTAATGAGGAAACTGTTTGCGATACCAGGAGTCTGTGTTTCTTCTCCCCACTGAGAATTCTGTTGTCGGTTCCAGAGCTGGGAGGCGGTCCGCAGCGCTGGGGTGTTGGTCCAGGAAGCTCGTGAGTACGGAGGCTTTCTTGGTTCAAGCTGTGTATTCATACTGCCCGAGCTTTCTCATGACCCAGGCATCGAAGACGGATGCTGTAGACTAGGACCTATTTGTGCATAAATAGTGTACACAGATAGTAACTGTACATAGAAAAGACCCATTGTGGCAGATTAAGGATAAATTATTCAACTGACGGTGCAAAAACATTTCTTGCAAAGCAAAGTAAGTGTATAGTATTTTCCTACACTCCACCCTGGGAGATAATATTTATATCAAATGAATATCAGTGCATTTTAAATTGTAATATGAAAATGATGCTGCCATTTTGTGACGAATACCCACTTGGGTGCAGAGGCCCATCTTTGTAGCTTTGATTTACCGTGGTGACATGGTGTCTGCGTTTCTCTCGCGAGCAATGGATAAACTCTTTCATTTTCATTCCACTTTATTGACCTCAGATCAAACAGTGGCCCTCCTTAGACGCAGAAGTGCACCAAGACCGCTGATTTCAGGTACCCTCACACTCAGTGCCAAACGCTCCCAAGAGGGTGATCGGACACATAGTACAAGAGAAAGTGAAGGAACTGGGTCAAAGGGGTGTTGCCGTTGTTCTTGTTTCTTACCTACCGATCGATGCTAAATCTACCAAAACTTGTCTGGAGGCACAGAGGTGCCCTCCACTTGAGTCCTGACCGTGCCTGTGGCACGTGTGAGTGCTGAGATGCCCTTTACGCTCTGACTCAAAAGACCCGCCACTTCTAGTGAGTGATCAGGATGATTCCAGATGAATTC